AAATACTGGAGATTTTTGTTTAGCCCAATGTGCATCATCTGTTAACTCAATGTTAGCTTTTGTTTGCAGAATTGAAAAAATAAATCCAATTATTTTGGTTGTTAATTTGTAGAAGAAAGTAGGACTTTATTTTTTTTACTTTTCCGATATACAACTTAAGTAAAGTTGTATATCAGAAAATGCCAACAGTACCTGTTGCTGAAGTCTTTACAAAACTTTCTAAGCCAAACAATGCAGAAAGCATGTCGATTGTTTCTAGTATGGCGAATCAAAATTGATTTTTCCACATTCCACTGTCAATGATTTTGTCCTTAAAAATAATGACTCCTAATCCAAATAAAAGAAATTTAACGAAACATTTCTTGTATTTTTATTATATTTCCTAAACTGTTCCAACAATTTCCAAATCTACCCCTTCTTGTAGGGTAGTTTTGGACAATGAGTAGCTTTGTTTTCAGGTTAAAAAACAACTATTGTTTACTTGAACTAGCTCAAAATTGCTTTTTTTTAAAGAATTAATAGTGTCCTAGTGTGCCCCTCTCTGCACTATTAAAATGCAACTTAACTTCTGATATCTTAATTTTTAATCTTAATTTAAACTCTTTGATTTTAAATTAAGTATTAGATAGTTACTATATGGTAATATAATTATTTTTATTATTTTATTTATTATTTTTTGCCATCACAAAATTATTTTACTAAGGTTTGGATTGCGGTTTCACAACAAATCTGCAATGAATAAAGGGAATTTTCAACATCATAAAAAAAAAAAACAATAAATAAAAAAAAAACTTATAAGATGCTTTTTAAAAGATGAACGTGAAGAGAATTATTTATCTAATTTCTATATTCAAAACCTGTATGTCTGATCTGTTTTGAAGCTTTTCAAAATTAAGTTATAAAAATCTCAGATTTATAAAAACCTCAAAAAAAAAAGCTCAACTGGCATCTAGAACAAAATTTTCGTCAAAAAGCAGCAAGAAATGAAAACAATTACGAAAGATTTGTTCAAAATATCTCCTTTTATTGCACAAAAGAAAAAAATTGGGAAATTGTAAAGGCATCTTTATCCATTTTTGATGAAAACACGTGAGACTCGAGCATAAAAAAATTGTCATAAAATGCTATCTTTCCTGGAATACAGTAATGAGAAAAAATAACATTGGTCTCTGGCTTCATTAAAAGCATGTATTGAAAATGAAAACACTAATTGTCACAATCTGAACAGGCATAAACTTGATAGTATTTGCACTGATGGCAAACCTGAAATAGTTGGGCAGCATAGTGGGTGTGTTTCTATTCTTGATAAAATATTTAAAAATAAAATTTTTTAAATACCAATGCATTATTCACCAAGAAATGCTGAGCTCAAAAGATATTGAATATGACCATTTAATTAGAAATGTTGTTACATGCATTAACAAAATAAGAACAAGAGTGCACTTCATAAACGAGAATTTTGCTCATATTTTAAAAATGAAGCAAATGAATACGAAGAACACTTATTACATTGTTCTATTTAATAGTTATCAAAGACAAAATATTAACATGTTATTTGATTTAAAAAATGGAAAGGTACATTTTTTGGAAGCAAAAAAACCTTTAGAATGTGACTTAAAAACAAATATTGGTTCTTAAAAACAAAGGCTGGTTATGCGACCTCGCATTTTTAGTGGATGTAAAAAACTACTTAAATATCTTGAAAACAAACTTGCAAGGAGAAAACATTTTATTTCGAACATTATTTAACCCGAATAAATGCTTTTAAGGCCGCCTTTGTGAAAGAAACCCTGTGAAGCTTATGTCAAATCGACTGTTATACTTAACTTGGCTGAAAAGTTTGTATTTTTTGAATATTTTGCATTGTCCAAAACTGCCCCTGTCCTAAAACTATTGCTCTCAACATTTCTAAAGCCTAATAATAATGTTTTAAAATGCTCTTCTCCATAAGCTTTTTTTTTATTTATTTATTTAAAATCAGGTTTTTAATATTATTGAATCCTTCCTTACCAGTCGTAGTATAGGTTGTCCTTAGCACTTAGCTTCATATCCTGCAACTTCAGGGGTTCCTCAAGGTTCTATCCACGTTCCTACACTTTTTTTGTCAACATCAACAATCTCCCAGAAACTTTCTTATTTAACTCTGATTGTTTAAAGACTAAGAGACGGAAAACTCTGATTGCTTGGAGAGAGTACTTCAGCTTGAAAAAGGATCTCACTTCATGCAACAGCATGAGGCTTTTAGTGGTTGTCGAAATTTAACTCAGATAAAAATCAATTTTTTTATAGCTATTTATTATCGCAATAATCTAGATTTACCTATACTTAAGAAAAGTAATGTACTTGATGAATCATCTGACCTTTGTATTCTAGGATTAAATTTTATTTCCAATCTTTCTTGAAAACCAATCAATTCCAAAGTTAGCAGTTTTGAGTTCAGGCTTCAAATTGATGTTAAAAACGATAGCTGATTTATGTATATGTTATTTTTTTGTTTTATGTTTGTTTTTGTTTATTATTATATTGGGCCTCGAGCTTGTCAATAAAATTATCCAAGGGGGGTTAGGGTATGCATACCACCCCCAACCAACACACCACCCACCCTCACCAGAATCTTAAAGTCCTTAAATAACTTACAAATGAAGGACTTTTTTTTTTTTTTAGAGACACAAATGTTATGCAGAATGCAAAAATATTAAACATTCAAACCCCCACCCATCCCACTATAAATAGCTGGATCCGTCACTGATAACTTGTTTTAAAACTGGTAACACTACCCTATTTTATGGAAAAATATTGGAGGAAAATACTTGATCCATTGAAAACTCTTGTTCAAAAAAGCACAGACGATTACAAAACATGATACTCTTATGTTCTAGCTTTATTTACTTATAAACATTATTTTTGTCTGATCAAAAGATGATTAGTAACTTAGTAGCTGAGTGGTTTTGAAAAAAATATAGGATTAATCCATTAAATGCAGGTATTATTTTCAAACGTTTTGCCAGATAGTGATAAAACATTGAAACAGTAGTTGCCAAGCAATAATTGATGTACTTTAACAATTGTGTCATACTTAGGTAAATGAAAAAGGAGACTCAAAGGGAAATAAAAATAACTTTTAACCTTGAAAAAAGTTAAAAATTTATTTTCGAAAATTTTTTGGCAAAATGTAAATATGTTCAACTAGTATTGTCTGTAAGTAAAACTAATGTAAAAAAGACTATTTTTTATGTTGGTCTTCTTAAAAGATACTTATTAATACAAAACAAAAAACCAAATGAGTGCTTGTTACGAAATAATATTATATTATTTTAGCAATAATAAATTTATGTGAAACTAGAATGTTGTTTTTATAAATTTTAAAACAAAACAATGTGTTTTTGAATAGGTTTTGCTATTACAAAATATGCATTCAAAGTTACACTATTTGTGGGATAACTTTGAATGGCTAATTAAATAAATACTTGAATATACAAAATAAAACCTATGCAAAATCTTTTTATTTGAATATTTTATTTTGAACTTGAATTATGTAAGAGTAAATCTTAGCCACTTTATTCATTTTATTAAATTTCAAATATTATCAATAGAGAAGGAAGAGTAAGTAAAAATATTTCAAAAACGTTCAAAGTAATTTAGGTGAATATTGCGTATGTTGAGCATGTTATCAGTGTATTGTTCTTTTGCAGCCAAATATTTATATTTATTTTTGCTGATTATATTAAATTAATCTTTCTTCTTAAAGAATAAAAATGAATAGTTCATTAAAAAAAATTCTTTTAACCAAAACTAGCGTTATTTTCAACCAATCATTTCATCTTCGGAAACCAGGTTTCTGAGATGAGCATTTTTTAATGGAACTCAATAAAACTTAAAATAACAAAAAAATAATCAAAACAAAAAATTAAATAAAATTGTATTTTCAAGAACTATACTTAAGTAAAAATCGATTATCTCAACCATAAAAAAAAACAAAAAAAACAATTGTTATAAATCTTTCCTATCTCTAAAAAAGTTAACAATACTATTTTTTGAAAAA